GGCTGCACTGCCCAAGATGAAACCCACGGCCAGGGACACCGTCTGGTCGAAGGAGCCACGCAGCTGCTCCACGTGCTGGTTCAGGGTCAGCAGCTGGTCGCGCAACGGTCCCAGGACAGCCACGATGTCGCCCAGGTGCGTCAAGGTCTGCAGCAGCGCGGCGTTCAGCGACGGGGGCGCAGCCTGTGGGGGCGCGCGGTTCTCGGGGCTGCCAGGCGGCTCGTCCGGGTCCGCGGGGGCGGGGTCCGGCGGCGGTGGGGAGCCCGGCGCGTGGCCGCGTTCGGGGGAGAGTGTGCGGAGAGCCGTCTGGGCGGGGGCCGGTGGGGAGACCGGGGCGCAGCAGGAGTTCGCAGACTTCGGCACGGATGGGCTGAACCTGAGCGCGCAGACGGCGTCCACGTCTGGATCCCGGGCGGCCGGCTGCGGCGAGGCGCCTGAGGAGCGGAGCGCGTGGCGGGTCAGGGACCCCGGCGCGTCGCTTCCTCCCCCTCCCCCAGCCTTTCCTCCCGCACATACCTGGGTCGTCATGGGCGGGCGCAGCGGCGGCCGGACGGCGGCCGCGCTGGGGGCGTCCGGGTCCAGAGGGGCGGCGGCGGACCCGCCTGCGCCCGTTGTCGCCCAGCAGCCCCATGAGCTCGCGGATCTGTGCGTCGAAGGGCCCGGGCGGCTGGCCCTGTGCGTCGCGGAGCTTGTCCTTGAGGAACTTGTATCGGCGGCGGCACTGCGCTGGCGTGCGCCGCACCTGCTGGCGGGCCAGCGCGGCGGACACGCGGCGATAGGTGGGCAGCGCCTGGCGGCGGTCCAGCAGCAGCGAGCGCCACACGGCCGGCTGCAGCAGCGTGCCCAGCAGCAGCTCAGTCTCCCGGGCGCTCCAGGGCGTGCGCTGTGCCGATCCCGGGGACACGGGCGACTGGGGCGACTCGGGTTCCGCCAGCGCGCCTAGCGTGGTGGGACCCACAGGTGGGGTCCCGGGGCCGTCCCCGGCTGGCCGCAGGTCGGCGTCGGGACTGTCTGGCGACGGCGGCCCCGGAGGCGCGAGCGGTGGCGGCCGCCGGGGACGGAGCAGCATCCCGGAGCTGGGCCGGGGCGCGGGATTCGGGGGTCGGGGCCTTACCTTAGAGGCGCCCGAGCCGCCCACACGCGCTCTGAGGACCCTGCGCCGCCCTCCGCGTCGGTGCCGGGTCTACGCGACCCTCCCACCGCTGGGCGCCCCGCCCCCGGCTGCCCCGCCCATCAGGCCCGCCGAGTTCTGCTTGGCTTGTCCGTGTGTCTAGGTTTACTTGACTTTACTTATGAGCGCCTAGGCCGAAAAGTTCACAGAGCAGAGCTCAGCCTCTGTCCGACGTGTAAGAAATTGCAAAAACAATAGAGACCTTAGTGATTTTATTTTTAAAGCCATGTATTGAGGTACAGTATAATACAGAAATGCATGTAAGGTGCTCAGGGGTCATTTTATTTTTACGCATGTGCCATGCCCTTTAATCACCACCCATATCCAGTGGTGGAACACTTCCAGCCACAAAAAATGGTCGCGCCTTCTTTTCCGACCTCAGTAGGTCGGAGTGTGTTTTTTCCAAATAGTGCTTATCCTGGCTCTGCTAGGCCCACCCCTCTCCCCAGTGTAGTTGTGTGTTTTGGCAAATGCACATCAGGCCTGTTCATTGTACTAATCCAGGCATCAATGGGGTGTTCACCTTGAAGCCAGGCTGCTTCCCTAATGTAGATAGAGCTTGATCTGATGGAGCATCAGCCCGCTCTTGGGCCTAAAGTCATTCACACACGCTGCAGAAAGGGACCCTCTTTGGCCTGGTAAAGTGTATTTGCAGCTGTCAATATAGGTAACTTAAAGTACTGGGCATTTCCTCTTTGTGACTAGAACTAAGACAAGAATGCCCAACATCACTTTCATCCAACCTTATTCTAGAAGTTCTGGCCAGTGCAGTAAGACAAGAAAAAGAAATAAGATTTATAAAACTGGAAAACAAGCAATAAGATACTCATTCTTTGCAGATGGGAAGACTGTGTACACAGGAACTAAAAAATAATCTCCAGGTCCCCAATGGCAAATGGTGAGAAGATACCATTGTTTGTCATTAGAGACCTAGCAAACCGACCCCCCCCCCCAAGCCAGACACTGATCACACCCAGTGCTGGTGAGGAAGAACGGGTGCTCTCACCAGAGTTGGTGGGGATGCAGAACCGCAGCTAACATTTTGTTGTTGTTGTTTTTGATATGAGAGACTGTACCACTTAGTTAGGTCCTTAGCCCTTTTTGTTTTTTATTTTGAGATAGGGTTTGTGTTGGGAGGCTGCAAAATTGCAGCATATGCAGTCGAGGGGAGAAATAAAGAATGTCCACGCACTTCTGCCCCTTTCAATGGTTTATTCACTCAAATCACTCACTACAATTTCACTCTATAGGTTCTTAATCAAGAAAATGACAGTCCTTAATGCTAGGCACTGCAATAGACATGATCAATTCACAGCAAACAATTCTAGATTAATTCTAAGCACTGCAAAACCTACTTAATAATGATAGGCTAATGACAGACATTTCTTCTGTATGCTAAGTTCAATAGTCTTAAGCCTTAGGCTTTAAGTCCAGCAGATGCACACTCACTTAGACTGTGGTGGCCAGGTCTGGAACCAAGGCAGGCCTTTCCTGGTGTGGAGTGGATGACCGGTTGAGGAGAAGGTCATAGGGAGAAGTTGCGGCTCTCACCAAGGTCCAGAGGAGGAGGTAGAGTTTGAGAGTGGTGAGGATCACGCAGAGGCTCAGGAACGATGACAAGTGATGGGATGTCAGGCCCTCATGGGGCTCTCCAGCTCGAGTGCATCCTTGTTTTGGCTGGCTGAATTCTTGTCTTTTATACTAAATTTGGGGGTTTTTGACCCCCCTTTCAATCCTTATCAGCTACCACTGGATTTCTCAGTGACATCATTTACCCTGGGGTCAGAAACATCTGGTCTGGTGGTCTCCACCCTGATCTCTCCCCTTCCCTCTTACTAGGCGAGGCCAGCCTCCCAGGGGTTCACTCTCTTTAGCAGGGTGAGGGGAAGTAACTTGTTTGAGGTCACGCTGGAGGGATCTGTGGGGTGTGCCTAATGACTGCAGGTGAAACTGGAGTTTTTAAAATGGAGTAGCTTAGGCTCAGGCTAAGGTCATCCAAACAGTTTGCTAAGTTTCTGAGGATCCTCCTGCCTCAGCCTGGTTTTCATACAACAGCTACTTTTGGGACAGTCTGGTGGATTCTTGTAAAACTAAAGTATTCTCTCCCGAGGATCCATCAGGCGTGCCCATGGTATTTATCTAGAGAAGCCGAAACTGGATGTCCCCCTAGAACCTGCAGAAGGACGTTGATGGACCACAAGGCAGCCCATGTCTGGTCCTGTGGGGGGTAGGATGGGGGATCAGTGGGGTGCATGCTCACTTCCCTAAACATTCCTTGGGAAGCTGCTGTGGGGGAGCCTGATCTGTCCTAAGCTGGGGACCCCAATGTGCTTCTCTGTGGGGCAGTCGGGGTCTAGGGAGGCGAGGAGTGGCAGGCAGAGGGTGGCTCAAGCCCAGTGCCTCCAGGAGAGTCGTGCTGCCTCTGCAGCCATGAGGTGCTTCCCTGGGGCCCCTGGACTGTGAGAACCCTCGTCAGGAGACCCCGTCTCTAAGAAGGGAGCCGACTAGCTGAACATCCTGCATGACATTTGGTCATCTGTGGTGGGATGTCGTAAACCACCTTGTCATTAGCTGGTGACTGGTCAGGGGCTTGGGTGAGGACCAGGGACTGCCTGCCTGTATCTCTTATGCCTGAGGCAGGTGAGGGCAGCCTCTGGCTGGCCACATGAACCTGGCTTGTCTGGGGCGGTACTACTTTTTCTTTCTTTGATAATTTCCCACTGTTTGTTTGTAGTGCTGGGAATGGAGCCCAGGGCTTTATGTGTGCTAGGCAAGCATTCTTCCAACTGAGCTCTATCTCCCGCCCGGGGACGGTCTTTCTGGGCTACAGCTTGCTGGTTTTGAGGTTCTCAGGCCTTCTCTGGTGTCCTGTGCTGGTGCCTGGTGGCTCCCGGACGGGGCCCCTGGGGCATGTCTTTCTGTGTAGGCCACCATGTGGCTTCTTGGGCTTGCCGCTGGCATGGTGGCCTCAGGGTTGTGGAACCTCCTGTGTGGGGGTGGTGTCCTCTGCTGCCGTGTGCAGGGCAGGCTGCGGTCGGCTAGGAGAGGCACACCCCGGGGGCTGTACTGGCCCTGGGTTCTCCAGGGTCTAAGTTCTCAGACTTGCTGCCCTGATGGGAGACCTTCCTGAGCAGGGTCTTCCAGCCTTGCAGGAGGGGAAGGGGTGGCACACAGGGCTCGGGCTTCAGTGCGCCAGGGTGGGTGAGGCCTGGACCACTCACCTGGAATGGCTGCCAGATAGCCAGGCAGACAGCAGCATTGTTCATTACAGGAACTTCCTCAGAGCCTCAGCACTTCCATAGAACACCCAGAGTTCACACCTCCTTTGGGGTGTCACCAGTCCTAACCGATCACGTGGGCACGAGAGCCCCCACAACAGTGCCCGACCTCACCCCATTCTGAGCCAGGGCTGAAGTCCTGGTGAGGCCTTGCTGGGTGAGCAAGGGATCCACTGTCTCACCTGTGGGCTGAGGGCCATGTTTGGGCTGCCGGGGAGCTGGCTGGGGTGAGCGGGGCACAGGGCAGAACGGCCCGAGATGTGGACCTGTTTCCCAGGGTCCACGGTCCTCACTCGGGTTCTTTCCTGCAGCAGGAGGGAGGTTGGCTTTCACATTCCTGGGAATTTAAGGCACTTGGCTTCTGGTAGCACCTGAGTTAGGGTAAGTCTGCAGACCAGGGCCCTCTGGTTGTCACTGAGTGTGCGAGTGTGACCCTGTGACGGGGCTGTGGCCTGGCAGTTTGGTTCCAGGCCTGGGCCAGGCACATCTGCTACTGCGCATACCTCGCCTTACCCTCCATGGGGATGGCTTTGGAATGAGCCGCACAGCGATGGCTTGGTAGAAATGACTTTATTCAGAAATCTGTACCGCGTGACATCAGGGTGCCATGCAAACAGTGCTGAAGCCGGAAGCCCGCTGCTTCCCCAGAGACAGGTGGGGTGCTGCTGCGCTGGGCACAGACAAAATCTGAAGACGGCGCTCATCAGCAGGACACAAGGGTCCTCACAGTGAGTCACAAGGGCACGTCCCTGCACCCTCACACAGCGGAAGCAGGGCTTGGTCCCAGTGGGTTCAGGTGGGGAAAACCTCAGCATTGACAGTACAGCACGCAGCTGCCCCTGAAACGTCACTAGTGGCTCACTGGGGCCACTTCTCTAAAACACAGTCTTGGGTCTCACAGCAGGAGGCTCCTGGGATGGCCCAGGTGTCTAGCAGGTGAGTCTCCCTGACCCACTGCACTCCACGGGTTCCCAGGTCCCCTGGCCAGAGGGGCTCTCCACCTGCTGAGCCAGTGCTCAATACAGACTGTCTAGACCACAAACTCAGGGAAGGGCTTGGTACCACTGGGCAGCAAGCCTCAGGTCCGTGTCTGACAAAGCGCTAGTGCTGGTGCCAAGCAGAGGGACGCGGTGGTCAGGAGTGCACATGCTTGGCAGCTAAAGGCAGGGGTAGCCCTGCCGCACCGGCTGTGAGGCATGCATAGGCGCCTTCAGCTCAGGTGGCCTCCCTGCTCTGGAGCTGCTGTTGGTGCCTCACACCCTGTTCCAGGGCTGAAGCCTTCACCTGGGCATGTCCCTTAGGGTAGCTGTTCCCAGCTGGGGCACCAGGCATGGGGGAGGAGCAGCTGCCACAGCAGGATGGCTGGCTGGGAGAGAGCTCCTTCCCCCACCTGCTGGCACAGTGGGGGTGCCCGTGGAAGGCCAGGTGGGTGGGTGGTGGGAGCATGATCCCAGCAGGGCCCAGTCAGAAGCCTGGGAGCTGCTGGTGCAGGGATCAGTTTTGGTCCTTGGCTTCTGGACAGGTGTGGCCACACTGTTCAGTGAGCAGCTGGGTCTGGAATCTGTGGGGTCAGGGATGGAGGGGTTTTGGGTGGTTTTGGGCAGGAGTCATCAAAGAATAGATGTGAGAGACATTTGTTTATGGAGATATTGTCAGTACGAAACTGAAGGAAGTCCACTTATTCTAGTTTCATTTCACGTTGCAGCAGGAGTGGGCTAACAGATGCTATGCCCACCCCGTGCAGTGTCCTGGAGCTGCCGCCTCTGCTGCGGGGTCAGGCCGGGGCAGCTCTGGGCGCCCTGTGGCAGGGCCTGGGGCCAGCTCCTCTGAGCTCCACCTTCGGATCCGGACCTGGTGGAAGTCCAGGTTCTGCGGGGTTCTGGGAATGCAGCTGCCTCCCCCAGGTCTGGTCCTGCTTGGACCCCCACCGGCCAGGTCCCGAGCTACTGGAACGTGGCCTTCATTCTCCGCAGCTTGTCCTGGATCTTCCGAGAGTGCTTCTCGCTCGGGACCTGGTGCAGCTTGGCCCTGTTGTCTGCTGCCAGGATGGCAATGTCGGCCCCGCTGAAGCGGGCGATCCTCTGCTTGAGGTGAGACTGCAGCTTGGGGTCGGGGCTGAACGTGTAGGGGTTCTCCTGGAACGCGTGGACCTGGCTCACCACCTTGGCTATGTTCCTGTGGTGGGGAAGGAAAAGCCACAGTCAGTCTGCACAAGCCACAGGGAGTCGCGTCCCTGTGAATCCTGGCGTGTTCTTAGGAAAGGCTCGAAACCAGCGCTCTCAAAGCATAGTACCAAAGGGCAGGTTTCCTGCCTCTGTTCGCAAAGCCTTGGCTCAGGTCCACGTGGCCTCGCCCACTCTTGGTTCCACAGCGTTTACTGACCCTCTATCAGGCTGCAGAACTGAATGTCCCAGCACAAATGAAACCCAGTGCCAGTGGTCACAGCTCACCGGGGGACGATGCGTGCAGATGTGTCCTTGTGTGGTGCCTCTACTCTGTGCTGCAGTGACGCCAGTGGCCAGCATACCACTGGTCATCAGCTGAGGACTCAGGCCCTTTTGCCTGTCTGGGGGCCGCAGGCCTCGCAGACAGGCTGGAGAATCAGTGTGTCCAGCAGGAGTTATGTGGCTTTTGTCCATCAGAGGCCAATGTGTCTACACACATCCACACAGAATCAAGAGAGGTCACCAAGCCTCGGCCCAAGACCCTTCTAAATGGTGGCACTGCCTTGTGTCATTAGTTCTGTGTACTGAGGCCGGCTTTCTGGTCTCTTATGATAAACTTACATTTGGGATGCATTTTAATTTTTTTTTTTTTAAGTTGGTGACTGTCTGAATAGGGAGCCACTGTGCACTGGGTCCTCTGGGCCTTGTCTGTCCAGCCAGGCTGCAGCCTGACCAGGTACTCTGACTGCCATGTGGATGACGCAGAGCAGGGCTGAAGATGCGAGCTGAGAAGGTGAGGCTGAGACTGGGGCCTGGGTGTGTCTGCAAGCTATGGCACCTGGAGGGGTACCTTGGACAGGTCCTGGGTCTCTGAGGAGAGGCCACCTGGCCAGCACCTCCTGAGGCAGAATGAGAGCCAGGCTCCTATGAGGCCTGGGTGTGTGGGCTGCTGGAGGGTCATAGCAGTGGATGGTAGTGTGGCAAGTATGCTGGTCAGGGAAGCAGCAGGACCTGGCAACGGCTGGAGAACTGACTGGTTCCAACTGATGTCTCGGTGGGGTGCCTCCGGAAGGCCTAGAGCAGGGACACCCAGGCCGGAGCCTTCACGTACCGGCAGCCTCCCTGCTGCAGAAGCAGGGAGGTGAAGGGAGGGTGCCTGGGTTCCGTCAGGAGGTCACGCGAGAACGCGGGGCGTTTAGGGACCGTAGACACCGGCAGTACAGGAATCACACTGTTTTCTGACAAGTGCTGAGGCCCTGGGGCAGGGCCAGGGCTGAGACAGGGTAAATGCCCTGGCCTCTGAGCTCCATCTGTCAGCCTGGACTCTTATGCTCTGGGCACAGAATGCCGACAGCCAGAGAGCAGGAGGAACTGGAGGAGGGGTGCACCTGAGCCTGCTCACCTGTGGGCTCCATGGGTCATGGTGAAGCTCTCACCTGAGCCTGTTCACCTGTGGGCTCCATGGGTCATGGTGAAACCCTCACCTGTGCCTGCTCACCTGTGGGCTCCATTGGTCATGGTGAAGCCTTCACCTGAGCCTGCTCACCTGTGGGCTCCATGGGTCATGGTGAAGCTCTCACCTGTGCCTGTTCACCTGTGGGCTCCATTGGTCATGGTGAAGCCCTCACCTGAGCCTGCTCACCTGTGGGCTGCATTGGTCATGGTGAAGTCCTCACCTGTGCCTGCTCACCTGTGGGCTCCTTGGATCATGGTGAAGCCCTCACCTGAGCCTGCTCACCTGTGGGCT